CACAGGATGGCTTACGCGTCCTTTCTTATTGTTCTCTTCTTTGGGTATTAACCCCTATACCAGTTACTATATATACTGTAGGAAAACCTTAGTTCAACCTCCTGTTGAATACAGCAATTACCTGGACTCTTGACTTGACTGTTGGCGTTGACCCAGCCAGACCTACCTTTCAGTATGCTTACTGAGGTAGTGACGACATAACTGTTGGCACGTGGCCCAGTTATCTCAGGATGACTAGTTAGGACATCGCTTCCTAACAGTCCCCTACAGCTCCACCTTTACATCCTCCGGTGATCCTTGCTTGAGGATTTTTGGAGACAGGTCTCGAGAATGATGGTCCTTCACTTTCAGGACCTCAGGAGGATTTGATTTCACTGTCTGTCCAATACACTTGGGAGGCCTTTTTGTGGCCTACTACTAGGATGATGTTTGGAAGCAGGGGATGTCGGTTCACTTTGTGCAAGGCATCAAGTTCCCACTCAGTCCAGGTTTGATCATCATGATTTCGAAGCCAGTGGATCCCTGGAGGCTCACTGCAGATCCAGATATCTCCAGTACGGGGCATGTCGGCGCCAAACATGAAAGTTAGTGGGTGAGTGGGCAGGAAGGAGGCAAGGTACACGGCATAGTACACTCCACGCTTGAGTGCGCTGTATCTATACCTGTTCGGTCGCATTGGCAGGAGGCAGGACTTGATCTCGCGGCAGACCCCTCCTGGCGGGATCATCTTCTGTTGCTCTTGCACAACAAGCCACGCATAGGGTTCTGGGGTCGGTGGCTGTTTGAATTGGTGCAAACATGGTTGAACACAACGGCGTGATCGTTAGGTGGCTGCGGCTGCCACTGGCCTGTATGCCCAGCCCGGCCCAGCCGACCTCTATAGGGTCACTGCCTTCAACTCTTCTGTTGCTTCAAGTTCAAGTTCCAGTTGGCCTTCCACATTCTTCACAGGTATTTCTGGCCTATGCCCGGTGTTCCATGCAATTGTACATGTTTGGTCCTACACATCGGATGTGTATCGTCCTCCGGAAGTCTCATATGTGACTTATCCTCTCGCTCAATTTGCCTTGCCGTAACAAAATGGAAAGGCTTGCTGACGATTTCTGTCATCCCTCAGGTACCCGCTGGACTGCTGCACTTCTAGCAGTGTCCACCCACCTTCACCTTTCAAATTTGTCAACAGCTCATCCTGCAGGTCCTTTGGCAGACTCTTCACTTTGGCAATGCTCCTATCGTCTGTGACACCAACCGCAGCAAGAGCGGAGCCACACCTTTCGACGTCCAAGTCTAGGTTGGTCAGGAGCATACCTACCACCTACCCCCTGCCTTCTGAAAGGCTTTGCGAGAGGTACTGTGCACCCTGGAGCATAGTCATCGTCAGTCGAGTCGATGACGTCTGTATTGACTTGTGTTATGACTGTCAACCCTAGGGGCAGCTGCTCGTGTCGAGGAACGACTTTACAAGGGCCGAAGCCACTCACCTCCTGTATTATCTTTCTGTGTTTTTTCCTTCCAAGAATTGTCCAACCTCCACCTTCACCTTTGGGGCTTCTGATGATCCAGCCCTATCAGATGAACTAAGACTCCCTGGAAACTGGCCTCGACCGGTGATAGGCACAGACACACAACAACCACCAGAGACCAAGGGGAAATAGCCTAACACACCCAGCAGTATGGGTGGAGGTGGTCTGAGATGACTGAAGGGTATAAAGTAGTTCGAGGGGGAAAGGAGGAGTAGGACGACGTAGGGTAGTCCATAGGAAGACCTGGAAAAATAAAACAAAGCCTTGACACCTGAAACAAACACAAATTGAAGCTCCAGAGTATTAGAAATTGCTAGAGAGACTTGGTTAATTTTATTTCGCTACTCACAGGAGCTAATATTTTGATGGCGGAGATAATTCAATCGATGAGTCAGGCCTATTGGCAAAGCTAGGATTGGTCATAAATCGCTAAGTTCTATGCTTGCGAACTTCAAGGGTCGCTGAGATAGTAAATCTGATACACTGAGATGGTGAAGATCAAAACTTGTTTTTATTTTTCTTTACATCATACATTTTATACTACAGCAATGACCCTGCGACGGCCAGGAGATAAATAACAAATACTCGCTGCAACTCCCTCAACTGCTTAGCACCTGTGTGCCACTATACCATGCACCATACAACTACCTAGTCCCTCCATATGCTCATCCTACCCCCCTTAGAGGTTGTCCTGATACGTTAGTGCTTATCCTCAGCCTTCCCATCATGCTGCACAGCATGCCGGTCACGTGCGAATTAACTCCAGCCGCTTGCTGACTGATGCTGGCCTCATGGTCACAGATTTAGTGTAATCCTGGGATTACGCCCACACACCACATTTCCCTATATGGCTTCGCCACTACCGTTCTCATTGCCCTTTCACACGCTTCTCATTGCTTCTCGTCACTTTCATTTATGTGCTATTCCTGTGGTTGCTTTCACATCTGTCACTCGCCCGACTTATAAGTCAACGAGTTCCGATCCTGTATGCTATCATTCGTTCCCCCCCCTCTCTCTCTCTCTCCGCAATATAGCGAAGTCCAGTTCCTTTGTGTGCCGCCTCATGAGTGTTGTCCGCCGTTGGCGGACTTCCATTTACACCTGCAAGCTCGGTAATTTGACGGAGACGAAGGGGAGGAAGTACTGGAAGCTGGGCATGAAGACGACTCACAATTAGACAGATGTCCGTGACTGCTGGAGGTAATTCATGCTGAAGTTACTTCTTGAGCCACTCCGGAGTGCCTGACCTTGGAACTAAATCCTCGTAGGAATTCAGACTTGCCTCGAGGACGCTAGAAGGCCTGGATTTAAATCGAGCATTGTAGTAAGCCAGTCGCATCCTAGCGGCGTGTGAGAGACGTGTTGAATAGGCTCTGTAGGGCATGGAGGAAGCATCAATTCCACGATTTCCGAGGTCAGACGATTGTGAAGGCTTATCACTGGTGCGGCTGTAGTTTCTCTTCCGTCTTTTTAGAAGGTTCTTGCCTACGCTTGGGCAGCCCTGCTATTCCTGTGACCCTTCTGCTGAAGCCTGTTGTGGGGATGGCGGGTCGCCTGCCCACCATTTCACACCTTACTTTTCATATCGGGAGTCCTGCTCAAGTCCACATTTCTTTGTCTCTCGTCTTGAATTACCCATTGGATTAACCATACACAATAGTGGAGATATGTCACACTGCTACTGTACACCACACTCAGTTTTTCAATTTTGGCCTATTTCTGAATCCACCATGCCTTCTTTTTTCCTCGGCATCTGGACAATGTTTTTGGTCCCCTGGCTATTACCGATAGTCTGGTATTGTCTAGATGAAAACGGCAAATGTGGTTGGTGACCCTTGTTCTCTACCTGTATAATGGTCTTGACGCCTGAACCTGAAGCCATCCCTTTCCGCTGATGCGCCATCCCAGGTGCAGACAATCCTTTGGAAGTCTGCCCATCCAATATATCTATGGATCAGTGCATCAAACTGCCCTCACCTCATAATTTTTGGTATTGTCCCTCAGCAACCATCGGGTTCAGACTTTATATGACCAGTGACTGCAATACTCACCCATCATGCTGCTTATCCGATGTGTTTCAGCTTTGCTGTTTGGCTTGAGTTCTGTTGCCAATGGCCTGACCTCAAAGCCCTGTCTTTCCATCCCTGTCCATATCCAGTATGCTCATGGGTGTTACAGTTCATTCAGCCTCCCTTCCATTTTCACCACTTGCTTCACCATGTGGTATTTACTCTTCAAATTCTGTCCTTGACCTCGGGGTGTGCTCAGGCGATGGCTTTGTCCAATGTGCCAGCAAGGGCTCGGACTCTTGGTGATTACAAGTGGTTTCTCCCCTCACCGTGCTATCTCCGTGTTGCCGCATGTCCCGGTACCAGGTCATATGCTGCTTGACAAGGCTAATTAGACAACTTTGACAGATGTAAATGACCTACACCTTCCCCTACCCAGGGACTGCCAGCATCCGGGAGGGGCCATGAGTTTCTTGATCATCTCGAACCTCACAAGAGCTTATCCCTATAAATAAATTCTACCACGCATCTAGGGAGAGAATAAGAGTAGAACATACCTTGGGATCAGCAACAGCTCATAGGAAGTCTTCTGGTAAATGTTCCTCATTGTCCGGTTGCTTGTAATCATTCTTCGGCACCTTTAGTATTGTCCCCCTGGAGCAATGGAATCATTTTTGTAGTTCACTGGTGGTCCAAGATCCAGTGCTGCCGAGTGCTGGACATAACACTCGGTCAGAATGAGGGAGGGGTAGGCGGTGCTCCGCGCAAAGTTGGTACCAATCACATTCCTCTTAGGTTGACTCCATCTGCCAGAGATAAATCAGGGACTGCCAGCGACCTTACCAGAACAACACGCTTCCCCCACATCCAAGTCAGGGACAAGAGCACCACATTTTCTGTCCTCATTCCCGGATCTTGCACCGGCCGGGGGCTGGGGACAAGGGTGGATATAGATGAGTGATGAGGGAAGCAGCCTCTGTATACTAATAAAGCGTGTCTCGGAGGAATTCAGGGCAGAACACTGATAGCATTCAACTTCGGTGAGATCATCAGGAATGTGTCGAAAGCAACGTGTTCCCAATTTGGGAGTACCTTTGCCAACTTCGGACACTGGCGTGAGCATTCAACAAGTTCAACTCGCATTGTCCACAATCACCCTATCCTTTTCATCTTTCTGGACTCACTGCACCTCTGCACTTCGAAGTTCTGGCAGGATAGAATGATATTTCTACCATATTGCACTGCAAAAGCGATTACTGGGAAGTGCCCCTGCTCTGGCTGCTTGCAACCAGGTCTAGCTGGTCATCGAGGTAGATATTGCAATGTTGCTCTTATGTTGCCCTCGGCTTTGTGTTGTTTGTCGATGCTAAGTGCTGCAGTGTTGCCGCGGTAGCTGCCTTCGGCCAATGCCGGTAGAGTGGGAAAATGCATTTTGAGGTCACCCCTGCAGAGCAGGGGCAAAACATTCCGATGCGGGGAATCGAACCCCGGGCTATCGCGGTCACGTGACCCTTAAGTAAGCTGTGAGAGGCGATAATGTTAGCCACTCACCTGACCTTCCCAAAGAACAAGGCTTATAAGAGTGGACGATCGAGCAGCGCGTCCACTCTTATAAGACTCGAAACGCGTTTCTCCTAACTCCGGCGGAAGCACCGGGAACACCAGCGGCCCTGTAGGATATAGAGTAGGGAGCCTCCAGGAGACTCCGGCGGTAGCACCGGCCCCAGCGGTGGCATCGCGTCGTGGACCGGTGGACGAAAATAGACAGCTGCCTAAAAGGGATTGATGGCGCCCTCCGCCGTGATGACATCATATTGCCGCCGCGCCCGACGCTGGTCGTCGTTGTTCCCGACGACGTCGGCAATAGGTAGCGTATAGTTCCTCAAATAAAATCGTATAAAATGCAATAAATTCTAGATATAATCTACAGTTTAGACTATGTATGCTGGAGATACATATAAGGTATCCATATGACACAGTCCCTTGGTATCTATGTGTGCCAGGGGTATACATTCTGGAAAAAGGGAAATATTCGATTTAGAGCTAGCCCTGAGAGGAAATAAAGCATGTATGTCAGTTATACATGTATATATCAGTGAGATTTGA